AGTCGCGTTGGGCAGGCGCCGCTGCTCAGAGAGCGAAGAAACTGATAGCGTAGCTTCCATTATCGATTGGTAGCGCAGGTAGGTTACTTCCTCGATTTTTAGTTCGTGCAGCCATCGCCTGGTGCCGTCGGTATGTGGAAAAGGTCCATTATGGAGGACAAAATGATGAAGGTACCCCCCCCCCCCCCTTTCCCTGCAACATCAGATGCCTCCCTCCATAATGATTTTGGAAAACACCACATGACTTCCCTCTAAGGCTTTCTCCATTTCGTGCCCTTCAAGGACTCAACGCGAGTCGTACCGTTAAATGTGGAGCAAGTGCCACCTAAACTCGGCGACATTCGCAACAAAATTTTAAAATGGATACATACGCAATTCAGACTTTCATATTACTCGAGTACTCCGAAAAATATTAAAATCTGATAAAAAAAAAAAAAAAAAGGAGCAGTTATTTGCACAGTTACCATGACATACTGGATCGCAATTGCCTTCCACCACTTACCGTCGGTACCACTAAGAGCGCCGAATTTAAAGATGTTCTTTGCGATCTCCATGTTAGGAGTGGAAGGGAAGAAGTGTCTTAGAAGAAATTTGGGGGCAAAGAGATAAGCCACAATAGGGATTATTCACTGGTGGCCATGGCTGTGTGCGCGAATGCTGAGCGCGTGCTGACGACGAGCTCCCACAGTTCTTTTACAGGGTTACACTGTATACAGGGTGCATTCTACACTACCAGGGTTGTCAGTCTTAGCAGCCTACTGTTGCGAGCTCGTTTTGAACGCGCGCTTTAAACAGTGCTTTAGAATATGGCGTCCCAAAAAGGGGTTTTTAGGGGTGCTCAATCTAGGTCAATGCAGCCAAATAAAGCTAGGAGGATCTGGCTACCTCGGTCGAGGGAGTGTCTGCACTCACTTGAGCACATGTTCACGTATTTTACAAGCAGAACTTCCTGAACAGGCGATTTCCACAAACGGTCCATTCCTGTGTGTTATTTGTTTGGAGGATCTAGCCCACTCCCTTCTGTAATGCCTTTGGGCCACCAGGAGATAAATAAACCACTTAGAGCAGTGATAAAGCCTCAAGCTATCAAGAGACTAGAAATCTGTCTGTGGGAACTCGAAACAACCAAAGCCTTTGCTGTCATGTCGATGCACTTCCCATTAAAATGCACCAGCACCAGCGAGTGCCACGGAGAAGTTTGGAAACTATGGGGGCTCCCAATCAACCTTGCTCGAGAATACGAGGGGACTGAACGTAAACCATATTTTGCTTGCAGTCTACCATATCGTCTTATAAAGTGGGTTCCGTGTTTTCCAACTTACTTGTCCCTAAATTTTTTTTTTTTTTTTTCGTGTTGTACTGTCTACTTTTGATGCCGGCAAAAGAAATCATTGTTTATCAGGCTTATCTCGTCAGAGAATGAATTTCGATACGCCTCGCAAGTGGGCTCATTTTCGTCTTCTGCGCATGAGAAAGGAAGTAGCGGTGACGTCAGAACGCCGAGCCCTGATTGGCTGATCGCGACCCCCTATCTGAGCGTCGTCTGCTCCTTTGCAACGTCGTCTGCTCGCAACGTCGTCTGCGTCTGCCTTACTTTCGCTGCGACTTTCGCCTTTCAGAGAGGGCAGAAGAAATAACTCGAGCGGTACGTTGTTTTTGTCTAACAACTAGCAGACGCGCATCAAGGAGAGAAGTCGAAAGACTCACTGGCGAGGTGTCCCGAGGCGCCGAGGTTTGTTTGCTAAGAACCGAGAGGTGAACGTGTTAGTGTCCGCAAGTTCCCTCCCAAATACTTTTCCCTCCTTTCGTGTGCGGCGAGACTCCTCACTCTTTAACGGCGTCGGCGGGTTGGCGCAGTTAACGCCGTCTGCTTTACGTCTGCTAGTCAAAGCGATGGCTGCTTTAGCTTTCCTGCGTCTGTCGGAGATTCACCGCTTTTTCACCGGCGAGAGTCACCGCTGCCTCGGGAAACAAGGAGATAACAAGACGAAGAAATTGACCCCTTAATCTAAAATTGAGGTCAGCGATCAAAGTATAATACGGGAAGGGTTCACAAGGGTCGCGCGGGCATATTCCATTCAGCACGCCAGCCGGTCGTGGGCAGACGGTCGCCGAGTCGAGGAGTGCCTGCTAGGCCTAACTGCGCAGCTCGCTTGGTCGCGTTCAGTGCAATCGTGGCTGTTGGAGCTTTTCCCGGGTGTTTGTGGATCCAGCGTTCTTGTTCGTCGTGGTCTGTTTCAAGTACTTTTTACTTTTTTCTTGCTGCTTGAAGTCGGGACGCGTGAGAAGCTCACGTAGAAAAATAAACGTCCATGGGTCGTCGCGACCGCGACGCTGTCGGCCATGCTGATTTGATCGTAAGAAGTGCGTAAGACAGCTTCGGAGCTGTCGTAGGATTTCGTCGTAACCTGCGCAAAACTTACGAAAATTTCGTTTCGTGAATACGAATTTGTTCTTAAGTTTTGTCTTATGCACATTTTTGGCGTAAGATTGTTTTGTGAATCTGCTCTGCGCTTCCAAAAGTCGCAGGAAATGTAAGACAGACGCAGACGACGTTGCGAAGGAGCAGACGACGCTCAGATAGGGGGTCGCGATCAGCCAATCAGGGCTCGGCGTTCTGACGTCACCGCTACCCCCTGCGCAAGAAGCAGACGAACTTGCCCTCCGCTATCTTGATATACAATGAAGGGAATCGGACAACCAGTGGAGCAGCATAACAGGCAGTCTGGGACCAGCTGTGTTCCCTGTCAAAACAAAAGAAGTAGATAAATATTTCTTCCCGTGAGCTTGGAATGTTTCTTATTCAAGGACAGCTCCAATTCAGTGTTTCTCCTTAATTTTCGATAAAACCACCTTGGGAGTTATCTTTCGGGTCTATTCATACTATACTGAAAAGATGGAACCCTACTTATCAAACACCTCGATTTCTTCCTAGCTCCCCTCTCCACACTCCCTCCCTTCCCTTCCCTTCCCTTCCCCCCCCCCCCACAAACAAACCTTCTTTTCATGTCCCATTTATCTGTCGTCTCCATACGAGGAAGCACTGCAGTTCTCGATGTTACCAGGCTCCTTTGCACACCGCGAGAAGGTGTGTGCTCATTTGTGAAATGGTCCAGTCATCTCGATTGTTCATCAAATTGCAAACGCTAAAATTTTGGAGAAGTATATCTTGCACTGCCAGGCAGAATGTTGCCCCGGGCAGGTAAGAACACTGAAAGGACCAACTTTTGACTGGTTGCTTCTAAGGGCATATCTAGAAACATGGGTGTACCAACCGGGGGGGCAAGGGGGGCACTTGCCCCCCCCAGTTCTCAGAGTGTGGGGGGGGGGGGGGGCAAAGCATGTTTTGCCCCCCCCCCCCCCCCTCCCCCCCTGAAACAGCCGCCACTGAGCAGGGGGAATCACTGGCCGGCGGCGCACAAGGGCACCGCTTCCCGGCCCTGGGGGGGGGGGGGGGGGGAGGGGGTCTGGTTTGCCCTTCCCGCTCAAAAACAAGTTGGTATGCCACTGTCTAGAAACAACCCATTCTGATTTGAACCCTTCTCGTATGAACCCCATTTGCAAAACTCCCTTCACGTTTTAACCTTTCGCGTTTCGACCATTTCTCCATTGAACCCGTTCTCATTTGAACGTGCTCAAAACAAAGGGCAGTGAGGTATAAAAAAGAGAAACAGTCGAGGACGAAGGTTGAAGGTGAAGCGAAGGAGTTACATAGATACTGCAAAGTGGCGCCACCTCGTGCATAGCACATGAAACAATTTTCCTTACACCTGCGTGCCGTCCCTAGTCTGTTGACGATGTTACCTGGTCACATGGCGACGTGGTTTCAAAAGTGCTAGCACTGTTTCGGTACTTTATCTCTCTATTGGCAGTATTGATGCCATTAAGTTGTCGTGTGGAGCGGATGGATCATTGTGCTCCTCGTGTGTTATTGCTTGTAAGTACCGCAGAAACATTCCGCGATCCCAATGTTGGATTAATTCGGATTCGGTGGTCACGTCGAGAATGCGAGTATTATATGTATACTCTTTTAGATGAAAACGTCTCTGCTGGGGGCTCTTCATTGCTTCAATGCTGGAAGGTGTGCACACCACGAGGTGTTGGGATGCAGACAGGCGTTGGGAGCTACTGCGTTTTTTTTTCGAAATGTGCAGGTGCGGATGTTGCATGGCTTGAGGGCTTTCTTACCAGGCACAGCATTTTTCCTTCATTTCAGTCGTGAATCATCGGATGAAAATTATGCTCATCAGGCATGCCCTGTGAGGATATTGAATTATTTACAACCAGTGTCGAAGAGGTCGTACAGATCTACGATCACTGTATATTTGCCTATGTGTCATCCGTCATGGCCTGGATCAGCATCTAGGTGTCATACTCTAAGATGCATTTCAAGGCGCAATAAAGCTCCAGGTGCGTGGACTTCATAATGTCACTGGTTCCTTTATTGCGGTTTTCCATAAGTGTATGCTGATATTATTGCTTTTCCTAGCCTGATCATGAACACGAGAAAAGTAGTTTTGAGAATTGTCAAAACCAGAAAGCATGTTTCTAGTAAGTTTGAAATCAGAAAGGTTAAAATGAGAAAAGTCCTTTTGAGAATGGTTACAACCAGAAAGTATGTTTTAAGAAAGTTTGAAAGGAGAAAAGTTAAAATGAGAAAAGTCGTTTTGAGAATGGTCAAAACGCGAAAGTTTGTTTTCAGAACGGTTTAAGTGAGAAAGGGAGAAAAGCAGAAGTTGTTTTGCACTGGGTTGAAATGAGAAGGTGGAAACGAGAAGGTGGAAATGCGAACGGGACCAAAAGAGAACCACCCGCTTCTAAAGACACCCAACTTTACAAAACGATGTACCTCGTGCAGAATTAACAACTTTTTGGCCGCCTCGCCAATGTTTGACGTCGGGCCAGCACAAAACCGAAGGCAGCCGACTCAAAAATGCGACGGACAGAGCGTGCCAGGTACGAACGCGTTAATCGAAGAGTAAATCGAGCACTCACCAACGCAAGCTTTCTACAATCACAATTTTACTCACCGGTTTTCAGGGCGACTTACTCGACAACAAAGTGCCCTTCTAACGACTATCACCTAGGGTGCCGTAGGTCGGTTAGTGGGCTCTACTGGACTAGTGCTTCCGTGCGGCGACGCCCTTCCCGCACAGTTTCTGTCTACCGCGGTAGTTTGTTTCCGGGAAGGTGTTGCAGCGGGGATGGAGCAGAACACGGGGGGCTTCTGTTAGCACACGCCACGAGAGTCTGGAGGAGGGACACACCGGGGGCAACGAGCTTGCTGTAGGCTCCAGCTCTTTTCGAAAAGTCTGCAGCTTGCTAGAGAACACTTTGTGGTCGCGATGGAGATGCGAGGGGATCCAACGTTGGGCGTGCGAGGCTAGGAGTCTGCCTTGCACGGCGTCTGACTGCTGCTCGACTGGCTGCTGGCCTGGTTCGGGGGAGACCGCTGGTCCGGCCGTCCCTTGGGGGCGCCGCCCGTTTCCAGGCTCTGAGCGGGACACTCGAAGTGCACGCAGTGGAACACCTGTGACGTGACAAGGAGGACCAGTTGTCCCAACGTCGTACGTGTACGACGTGCGGCTACACTTCGTTTCGCTTTATGTGCGAGCAAAGCCCAAGCTGGAGCGTGTTCTCCCGAATGATGCTCGCCCTGCATAAGCGCGCATGCTAAGCAGGAACGGTGAAAGCAAAGAGCTCGCTCTTTTGCTACGCTTGCACGTAAAGTGAGATGGAGCATAGTACTCTGGAATTTTTCCACTTTGCTTAAATAATAGTTGCACCTGTTTGTACTAAACTCTGCCGGACACGCACATTATTTCAATATTGGAGACTTTTGCGAAATCAACGTCATTTAGCACCCAGAATGGAAAGCTGTCACGGCAGGTTTGCTCCCCAGCTTACTTAAGCGAATCAGATTCTCGTAGCGTCTGGCGGTTTTAGGACGAAGCCGTGAAAGTAGGTTAGAAGATACGCTATGAAAATCGCTAATATCCAGGAGCATGTTATATCAAGCACATCAAAGATGAAATTTCAAGTTTCTCAGACTCGATAAATAGTGATTTTCTTCACTGATTCGGAAGCGGTTCTGCATGAATTTAAAACGACGATTTGCTGCACGGCAAGTGTGCCCTTCAAAAGGACGAGTCTTCGCACCTGTAACACCAAAATCCAAATGAAACCAGCGTAACTGTAGAGAAATGCACCATATACTTTGCATAGATAAAAAAGAGTCGTACAGAACCACCCCAAAGTTTGTTGTCGCCTACTTCTGTGCGACAGCAGTGCCACCCTCCTGAACAGCTGGAGAGCCCTTTACCGGTAGCCTCAGAGAACGACAAAAATCCGTCGCAGTTTGGTCGCCATATTTTGCGCTAACAAGAATAGCGCACATTAGTCATACAAGCAAGAGGGCTAACCTCGACCAGCAATAAAGAAGGCCCCGCACACACTGGTCTCAGCATCTCTGCAATCTCGGTGGAGACCCTTTGGCAAGGAGGAAAACAGGCAAGCCTCAAGACATCACACAAAACCGACTGCGTACGAAAGAGGAATGGGACGTTGGAAGGACTTCCTTGGGGTGGCACAGGGAACGCTTCCAAGCAGGCATTTGAGCCTCGTCTGTGGGCACTCTCGTTTTTTGTGGAAGTGTTAGGTTAGGTTAGGTTCTGTTAATTGGAGAGGGTAGAGTTGCCCTTTCCACATCTGCACCTGTCACTCTCTGTGCGCTCCCTTGGGCACCCTTGGGCACCCGCAAAACATCCACACTGCCAACTATCCGCACGCGCCGACACACACGATGTGTGCGTGTCAACAAGCGATGAATCGCCCCACATAGCTCTCCATCACCAGAGCCTGCGCATCCTCCATGGCATCACGCGAAAGATGCGAAAAAAAATGACGCGGCAACGCTTCGAAAGTAGGCGGTGGCCCGCCCTGCCAGGAAGGCGGATGTTGAATGGGAACATTAGCCGTGCTCTTCCTAAAACGCAAATCTGCATACAACGGTTCAAACGGGCGATCGCGACGCGGCCGCAAATTTGAGTAATGCCTCGCTTTAAGGGCTCCCCCGAGATTCCGGGCGGCACGCAAGGAAGACCGAGCGACGCTGGCCTCACCTCGTTGGCCGTGTTGTGGGTGCCCACGATGCGGACGAACACCACGGGCTGGCGAGGGAAGCGCAGCAGCTGCCACGACCTGCGAGCAAGGACGAGGGTGCTTGGAGGAGGCGGACAGGGTGCGGATCTTTTTCAGCCCGGCTGCAGACAACCACCCCCCTCTTGTTTACTCCCAGAGCCAATGCCTAGATAACCGGGCAACAGCGCTGCGCTCTCTGAGTCATCTATCGGAGTCGGACGGCACCGTGGGGCACAAATTGGACGCTGCATCGGCGATCGGCCGAGACTCGCGCTCGATCGCCGAGTAACTGAGTGCGTCGTTGATGTTCGGTTGTGACTTGTGTTTGGCCAAACGCCGACGCGGCCCTCGCGTCCAATCTGTGTCTGTGCGTGAACTTCCTAGTTTCGATAATGCCTGGCCATCTCATGCATCTCACGCGTGCATGCACAACCAAAGCACTCCAGAAGGCATCGATCACGTGTTGGAGGCTGGGCTTTCAAAACAGATACTTTGCCGTTCTCACGTGTACGCAGTAAAGTGCGCATCTAACTTTTTTTTTTTTTTTTTTTGCTGATGTGATATGTGGGGGGGGGGGGGGGGCGACTTACAATGGTGTAAATACGGTACTTTGTATAAACACAACTGATGCAATATATGTCCCATGTTTGCGTCGATATCCCTAACATATTACCCCAAAAGCCAAATGAACAAGACAGGTCATATGGATTGAAACAGATCAAAGCACATCAACATGAATGCCCGCCAACGGATGCTGAGTCAATTCATTTTACGCTAAGTACTTAAATCAATTTTTCTACACAGTCGTGTCTCTTAAAGGCCGACGACCAGACTCGAGATTCTGCAAGGGGAAGACCCTCCTCACCATTAGGGAGGAAGATACAGGCAACGGTGGACAGGCTAGAAGGGGGGAGAGGAGGAAGCAGGGGAAAAGTGGAAAGTGCGAACTGGTCGTTGGTCTTTAAGGGGTCATCTTTGTTATAATAAATGCCACATTGGCCCAAAATGTGTTTTTGATGAATACACACAAAAAAAAAAAAGGCTTAGCTAGACGTTCACGGTGGTGCCTAGGGCAGGATGACGCTTAGCCTTTCAGTGCCTGGGGTGGCTGATGCAGCTACCTCACGTGGTGCCTCTAACACCACCTCGTTTTGCTCCTTCCGTTCCTGCATGATGGGTCTATAGTTCAGTCAGCAGCGCACTCGGCTTCCACGCCGGCAACCAAATCTCAATTCCTGTCACAAGTGTTTTTTGATATTTTTAAAGATTGTTTAGCAGTTATGGACTGACCAGTCTATGCATTTCATGCTTATGTGGCTCCTGAGGTTAGTGGGGCCTACAAAGCTACCGCTTTAAAACACTCATTTTTCTTCTGACTTCTGTAAGCTCCTGTTTTCAAACTTTCAAATGTTAAATGCGTCACCTACAGGCACATACGCAGTAAACTGTAGCGCTATACCTTAAAACAGGGGTTTTCAAACTTTTCCATCTTGAGGAATGCCCATATCTTTTAATCGAATTCCCTTCCGAACAGATACAATAAAGCAGTGAAAAAGTCTAGAGACCTTGTAAACATTAATGCGCGTGACAGGAAGTGTTTTGTTAGGTAGTTAAAGGGGCGATGCAACAATTTTTGTACCTTGCGCAAATACCACTTAGAACAGATCCCTGACGTTAATGACCTATGAAACACGCGTCCGTTTTTCACTTCACGCAATAGAAGTCCCAGAAAAAAATTAAAGAAAAACGAGCAGCGTTCACCCCCTCAACTCGCAGCCAGAACAAGCGGCCACGTGATCTGGAGCCGATTATATGCCGCCAATGTTGATCATAGCCACGCGCTGGGGTTGGCAAAGCACAGGACACGCGCTGAGTTCCAGATATTGTTATGGCTCGGCTATTGTCCTCGTTGCAGCAATTGGACGCGGGCAACTACCCGAATGCTTCTCGAGCTAGTAATTATCACGAGCCCAAATCGAGTGCCCACGCAGGGCTCGGGTCCAATTTATGAACCGCATTAAAAATATTGTCACTTGGGTGTTCTGCGATCCCCACGTTACGTCATCAAATTTTGTAAAGGAGAGATTGAACGAAAATAATTGCTTTTGTCCTTGAAATGTCACCGCAACAAAAGAGTTTCTTGGCCAGTGGAGTTGCGTGCGAGTATCCTTGAGTCCCACTAGTGCCAGTAAGCTCGTGTATAGTGAAAAACATTCCAACTGAATATCGTTGCACAGCTCCTTTAAGCATCAATGGATGGTCCAAGTCTTAGAAAACCGTGCTGAAACGGAAGGCACTCTTCACCTAAAGGTGGGGACAACTGAGGAAACTTTACAGTTCGGTGAACCCTTTAGGTACCTGCGGAACCCAGTTTGAGAATTCATGCGTTAAGGCTGCGGTCCCACGGCGGCCATGACATATGACGCTTTCAGCACGTTTTCGAAATGCGATCGTGGCGTGTTCAAGCTTGCTAAAATTATGTGTTATATATCACCTTGTAGTGTACAACATTATCTTTTATCTGATGTAGGATTTGTTTTCCTAGTGCAAAACGCTAATTCAGTGGGCACCCGCGAACATTGGCCTTTTCGGCAAAACATGGTTTCGTAGTACAGTGGTACAGGGTGCACTATTTGAGCAATTTCTTTCAAATTTTAGAATGTTATAGAAGAAGAGTGCGTTCATTGTCAACGGAGGCCCTTTTTTCGTTTTTTATTTTATTTTGACAGATATTTACTTTAGAAAAATTGACTTTGCGGAAGCACTTCAGTCGCGAAGTTTTGGGCGCCTACTCGGTCATTTTATTTGAAACTTTTTACATCAGTTTGTAATTATGGTCGAAAGAGTTACGCTAAATTTCATTGTAATATGGCTTAAACTTTTTTCGGAATGCTCACGTGAAAAGTGACAAAAACCGTTAATTTTGGCAAACTTCATTTGGTAGTACAGTGGTACAGCGCTTAGGGATTGGCACACATGAATAAAATTGTAGGCCCGCAAAGAAAAACATATTCTGCTTTGCAAAGCGAGGCCCTGTTTCTAAATTTCACTTTTGATTTTCCATAAAAAAAGTTTGAATATAGGTGAAATCACGTATTTGTTGATAGTCAAAAACGAGTATTTTGACCCCTTTTGGCAGACATTTAGGCCGATATTTTTAGTATTAAATGGAGATTACTGTTCCAGGTCCTGATTATTAGCCCACATTTTCACTAATCGAGCCTATTTATTTAAAAAAATCATAAAACATACAGAAAACACAAATTGGATGTCTGGTTGCGCCCTCTATGTGGCGGTGGCTGAAATGTGACTACGCGAGGTTCAGGAAACTGCCGAGGATGGCGCTGATTCCAGCTGTGGTTGCCAGCTTCGGAAACTGGTTGTACACTTGGCTTCTTCCGTTTCTTGCAAAATAACGTCCTGGAAAACTTGGTCGAAACTCGTGAGGTCCTTTATAACACGGTATTTTCTGCTAATATAGCTTTTAGGAAGAATTTCAGTCGCTTTCATATTGTCAAACGATTTTTTTTTTATGCGAGGCTCCACCGGTTCAGTTTGCTGAATAAATTGTTCACGCAATCGATATCGAAGTTTCAAATTACCGAAATGCCAAAATCGCCAGTTCCGCGTAGATACGCAGCGTGACGCACGTGCTTCTGGTGCGTGTGCACGTACGTGTTTGCTGCGTGGTTCTTCGGTTGCTGCGAGTTTTCGCGTATTTATTGTGCACTGCTTACCTCCGTCTGAGCACGCCTCTCAACCTTGTAACTACCCCTGCTCTGTTTGCCCAGAGTGAAGTTTGTGTCTGTCTTTTCGTTCGCTGACTAAGCTCGTGTCGGTGTCCTTCCTACTGGCTGCTGTTCGTTTTTGCGTACCGTGTGTGTCGCTTTGATTACTAGGTCCCCTGCTTATGGGGTGGAGCAAGCGGTGGGCGTCGCGCCAGGGTTGGGTCGTGATTGGGGAAACAGCTTAGCAGCCGACGCCGACTTCGGCGCGTTTCTTCTGCGCACGCGCGTACTGTCATTGATATCGCTACTTCGCGCCGTGACGATGCGCTGATCTACAGGCCGGTCGGCGCTCGCGTGATATTGTTGAAAATTCTCGAGCGTGTATTTACGTTTCGAAAGCCATAATAGAATTAAAGTGACTATTTGGCCGGCAGCCGGCATACCGAGGCTCTGAAAACAAATTGCTAGGAGTGTCCTCCCATTCGGGTGCGCGCAGTCCGTGCTTCTGGCCGCCCCGGGCCGCCCAAATGCGTTTTTCTGATGCTTGTTTTGTTTTCAGTAAACAGACAATAGATTCCTGCTGATATTCTCCTTTATAATCTTCACTCTTGACAACTCTTTAGTGTTGGAAGGAACTCCGTCAAATTTGACGATAATGCATGTGTAAGTACAACTGGAACCTCATAGTTGCAAGAATACTTTTCCTGGATTGTCTGCATTAGAGTGCCTCCATGTGCGCTTCGCGCACATGAAGGCTCCCTAGTCTGCACCTTTCTGATAATATGATCGGTCTCCATAAATTGCACTTCCCCGCTTCGGGAGCACGGCCAGCGGTGGTTCTCTGTCGGTCATCGAACCTCACATACGTGAAGCGTTGTCAAAGCTGTGATATACCGGGCGTTTTATTATTATGTTTTGTTTTGTTTTGTTTTTTTGGCTGAAAGAAATTATACTTTTGGTATTCCCGGGGATAACATTATCGGCTGCGGCGGACGTAAAGGAACGAGCGTAAATTGACAGTTAGTGGCCTAATAAACTAAAATTTGCCATTTGCGAACGCTGGAGAGGGGGCGACCTCCTCTCCCCCGTTCGCTCCGCTGAAGTGGAACAGGGTGGGAGGAGCTCCCACTTCGTTCTTGACCTGTCACCGACTACAGTTGCGAATTCCACTTGTCATTTTGGAGCGATGACGAGATAGAGCTGAGTCATGTATTGCCTTCTCTGAGATGAAGAACGCAATGCGCGCGGAGTTGCTCCACGTATGCACCAGTCACCAGTAAAAACGACATGTCCTCCGAGGAGATCGAGCGAGACGCCGGCTGACATGGGGGT